CAGATGTGATATATATATTCCAAACGGTAATAGCATATTGGTCGATTTTAGTCAAATAACATTGTTTTATAGCTAAATTAATATCTTGACCTTGAGAGGGAGCTATACAACATAAAGAGTTTATTATTTAAAATTTCATTACTTTAGACTCGATTTCAACCGCGACAACGATCACTGAATATTGTAGGATCGGATATGCTTCCAATATGTTAATTTGAACCAAATTCATGACCCCATACCAAAACTTTGTATTACCTTTAATAACAAGATTGGCGACCGGCTTGTAAAAGTCATGGGATTCTTGACTTAAATCCAGGATTTTGATTAGAATCTGAGGCGAAGATACCCAATCTCATTAAAAGGACCATATTGCCCTCGTCTTATGACTCAGGGCGACACGATTATGTTGCGTGCAAAAATATTCAAGGTCATCCATTACTGCAGACAATTTCCTTAACCCTTTGTACCTCGCCAGATCTTCCTGGCACACCTATCATGGAGGGATTTGTCATCTTGAAGAAGAACCCAGATTTTGAGCAATGATTCCGGGCGGGGTCTACCGTCCTTAGCAACCAGATCCAGGGTCTACCGTCGTAAGCAACCAGATCCAGGGACCCTGACCTTGAAAGCAGGGTTCATACTTAAAACACCCAGGGGCCATATTCTAAAAACATGTTTCTTTTGAGCCTCGTTCAGATACAACACTGTTAAATGCAGCAAAAAACATCCAAATGAATAGCAACTGCATTCAGCAAAGACTTGCATGTATTCACTGAGCTGTGTGTTATGAGATACAAAAATATGATGCATATTACACTCAATGTCATCATGAAATAACTACCGCCGTTTTGCCTTGTCATATTTGAACGAGGCCCTAATTTCAAGGAAAATTATTCACTGTTCATTACACCCTGTCATGGCAGTATATATTTGCATACTGTAAGTTTTGACGAAAAATACCTGGATTTTTATGTTTTGCCTGAAACGTTAATAATTACCATCACTATGGATAATTTCCAAGAGGTTTTTGTCTTATAATGAAACAATCAACCTTAGCATTTGACTCTTTATATATCTAGTGAAATAAGGCGAAACCTGTATATAAAGACCACCCGAGGGAGTCATTTTGAGAAAAGTGGTCTTCAAAGGCAGGTGGTCATTATGTACAGGTTCCTTGAATACATGTTGCAATGTAAATCACTACTCAACAAAACAAAACTAACAAATTTCAGGACAGTATAAAGAACCTTATTTATTATAACCCGAGGACATGTAGCCGTGAAGAAAGGGGAATAGAATTTCATCTGCATCTTCAAGCTACGGTTGGAGGGTCTGGTCACCCACATTTTGTTTTGTTTCGACTATGAAACCACCATTTTCTCTTTGGAATTCAAATTTGGTCCTGAACCTGTTTAGGAACAATGCTTGCAATCAAATAACTATATGAAGAAATTTTATGATTGACAGTTTATCTGCAAGTTGTTTTACAATCTGGTATTAGTGATACATGTCTGTCAAACTTTCTAACGCCACAAGGATTTTCGGAAAGCATTTTCATACAAGACCTAAAAAATAAATGATGTAGACATTCATAATTTATTCTTTTCAAGACATATGACATGCCTGGATTAAATTTTTTTTTTTTACTTTTCCGTTTTGTATATTATTACCTGTTAATGAAAAAGCTGGTTGTTAATGTAAGGTCCGCTTTCAAAGAAGACCAATTATATAATTAATGTGTAGATATTGACTTGATGTAATGATGTATTTGTATTGTTGCATTCTGATACATTGTGTAGGCATGAACATTCAAACAGATTAAATTGTTTTGTGTAAAGCACACATGTTTGTATGTATATGTTTTATTCATTTACTGGGTCATGAGTCATGATTACGAAAGTAAATTTGACCAGACTGTTAATGTTAAGTTGTAGGGATGGACTGTTTTTTGTTCAGTCTACATTTTTTTCAGAGCGGAAAAGTCACGCTTTCCAATAACATACAACACTTAGAATTATCTGAAGTAGAAACCCACTTAAAGGCAGGGTATTTTACAGGCTAGCATAACCTGATAATATCAGGACTGAGAAGAATAGAGAGCAAGAAAGAGGCAGAGATTATTAAAGATAGACATGGACCGGAGAGATAGAGAGAGAGAGAGACGGACAGAGAGAAAGAGAGAGAGAAGAAGATGGACAGACAAAGAGAGAGTGAGAGCTGTATGAGAAATCATTGAAAGAATATAAAATGCATTTCAAAGAGGAAATGATTAAACAGGACAAGATAACTTAATAGAGAATGGAATGAATTCATTTTATTTTCATTAAAATAAATAACATCAAATTTGATTATTTACAACACAAATTTGAAATAAAGCCCATTAAAGCCCATAAAATAAATAACATCAAATTTGATTATTTACAACACAAATTTGAAATAAAGCCCATTAAAATTTAACAAACTGCTAAGACTCGACATGAAAGACAATGTGGTTAAAATC